ACTCATAAACACTTTGAAATCAAGTTGGATATTTCTCAATCCTGAGATGCTTTGCTGTAATAATTGCTAAACTTTACTGAAGACTTAATACAGGCTGGGTATTATCTTAAGATACAGAGGACCACAATAGTATGGAATAGAAGATTTCAAAAGAATGATGAGTTTATTTTGTGTGCCCGTACTAGGGCTTGAACTCAGGGCCTAGGCTCTATTCCATAGCTTTTTCACCTGAGGCTGATGCTCTACCACTTGAGCCACAGCTGTACTTCCAGCTTTTCTGGTGACTAATTGGAGGTAAGAGTCTCACAGGCTTTCCTGCCCAGGCTGGCTTCTAAGCTGAGATCCTCAGATCTCAGTCTCCTGAGTAGCTGGGATTGTAGGCACCTGGCTTCCAGGCTGGCTTCTAACCACAATCCTCAGATGTCAGACTCCGAGAAACTAGAACTATCGGTGTGAGCCATTGGCACCCTGCTTTGCATTCCATTTTTATTAAGAGTGCTACCCTAGAGCTTGACTTTGGCTAATGGAATCAGCTACAGGCTCTTCTTCAGAGCCTCTTGTTCAGGGCACCCCCAGTTCAATGTTAGGCTGAGAAAAGTAAATGTAAGGCAGAAGGAGGGTAGAGGCAGGAGGACCTTGAATCCCAGGCCAGCCTGAACTACAGAGTGAGACGTGGTCTTCCTACTACCCACCAAAATATGGAAGAAGAATGTGAGGAACTGGTGGCTTATGCCTGTAATCAAGAGGCTGAGATCTGAGAATCATGGTTCAAAACCAGCCTGGACAGGAAACTCTGTGAGACTCTTATCTCCAGTGAGCCACCAAAATGCTGGACGTAGAACTGTGGCTCAACTGAGTATGAGCCTTGAGAGAACAAAACTAAAGGACGGAGCCTGAGTTCAAGTCCCAATATCTACACATTAAAAAAAAAAGTGGGGAGGGGGCAGGAGAAGGTCAGACTACAAGGTGGGAAATGCAAACAGCCACTTTTGAAGGTGCAGCCTCTCCCGTTCTTGGCAATGGGAGTTGCTAAAGACTTCTCAGCTACGCTCATTCTAGTCATGACCCATCGTCTGGCGCTCTGCACGCAAACTCTGAGGAGCCTGGGGTCAGGCTGAGACGCAGGCTGTCTGGTACCAAGTGCCAAGATAGTTCCCTATCAGCCTCCCTCCTGCGGCAATGGCTAATTTGATCAGGATGCTTTCTCTGGGCAGGTCTGCCCTGCACTATCTGCTTCCAGTGGGTGCTGGCTGTCATTCAAGGTCAGGCCTCAGAGACAGCAGGCAGCAGCCTTCCTGTCTGCTCCAGACTGCAGGCTGAGGAAGGACAGGTGGCTCCAGGCTGGGCGCCTGAGGGCCACACTGCAGAATTCAACCCCTTCCTACCACAGGACATGGCCCCCAGCTTTGCTCCTGGCTTCTAGATCCCTGAGCAGCCCCAATAGCCACCCATTTCCCATGAGCCCCCTCTCCCCATTTGTTGTAGATTCTCTCTATGGAACTGTAGGCCTTCTGGGAAGCTTCCTCTTAGGCAAAGGGCCCAGGGGTCCTGGGTTTCTAACTTTGAGAAGGAAAAAAGCAGGAGAGATAAAAGCATGAGCCAGCCAGTCCAGACACTATTGACCCTCCTTATTCCCCTCCCTCTCCCCCCCTCCTTCAGTCCTGGGGCTTGAACTCAGGGCCTGGGGGCTGTTCCTGAGCCTTTTCACTCAAGGCTAGAGCTCTACCACTTTGAACCACAGCTCCACTTCCAGTTTTCTGGTGGTCAATTGGAGATAAGAGTTTCATTGACTTTCCTTGCCCGGGTGGATTTCAAACTGCGATCCTCAGATCTTAGCCTCCTGAGTAGCTAGGATTACAGGCATGAGAAATGGGCACCCAACTGGTTTTATTTTCAAAACAACTATCTCCCATAGACCCTTAGCTTCCTTTTGAGTACAGTTCACTGAAAGTAGCTCACTGTGGACTCCACAGTTTATTACTCCATTTGTCAAGTCCTATTTACTCCCGTTCCTCCCCTTCCTTCTATTCTCCTCCTCCTCCTCCTTTGGACTAGGATTCACTGTGTCACCTGGGATGGCCTCAAACTCAAGATCCTCCTACTTCTGCCTCCTAAGTGCTGGGATTACAGAAACACACCAGTGCACTCAGATTCACTTAGGTTTTCAGTTTTTGGCTTTGTTTACTCGAATCTGCTTCAAAGCTCTTTTTTGGAGCCCAGAGTGGTAGTGGATCTTGCTTCTCAGTCTTTTCCCTAAACTTCACCCAGGCACTGGGGCAGGCAGGGGACCAGGGGGAAAGACAGACATCCCTGCTCCTGGTCATCTCATGTGAGTTCTAGTCTTAAGCCCCAGTGGACTCCCTTCATGCCCCCTGCATGGAGGCATCTTTACTCCTGAGGGTCCTGGCAAGTCTGTAACCCCTCCTCATCCTCTTCTCCATCAGCATCTGGGCTGTGGTCAGAGAGAGGCCTTGGAGTCTGTTTTTCATAAGAAATGGATGCTGGGGGCTAGATGTGGGCCTGGGATCCACTGCCTAGCAAAACTCCATTTACTATCAGGTTTCAATGTGATTTTTCCTGTCTTGGCACCTTGGAACGAGCCATATAAACAACTGTCGGAGCCAGAGGCTGCCCTACACTTTATAACTGGGGTACCTGTGAGTGCCTATAGCTTCCAAGAGTCTTACCTCCATTGCTGAAACTCTTGGTGCAACACAGAGTGATGTGTGTGGGTGGAGCCGGGGGCTGAAGCCCTAGGAAAAGAAGAGGAGTCTCCTTTTCTGAGCCTTGTTCAGTGGCCAGATGTGCTTGATAATAAGCACAGCATATTATCAGATGCTTTGGAATTGGGTGTAGCTGGGCTGGAAGGGTAGGAGGTGAGCCAGAGGGCCTACACTATCAAGTGTCTCCACTAGATGGCAGGCTTGGCATATTTTGTTTCATTTTCTGGCTCGATGGTCACCTTTTAAAGGGTTGGAGAACCAAATAGAGCTATGACATTTATGTAGATGACTTGGTGTATGATTATATTTATTTGGAGTTCTACCACATTTCTAGGAGTTGTCAGGTTTTCTTCCTCTTGGGAGGGGTGAATGGGGAGTAGGAATGGTCACCTGACTGCTGGGCGAAGCTTGCTGTGTCAGTTAAGTCACTGAGTCCTTCTGCCCTCCTTCCTGACCCATCATGGACTCCCTGGGCTCTGGACACTCTGGACACTGGGCTCTTCTGTTAGTCTTCCTCTTCCTGGGGTTGTGTATCGTTGTGTGTGTGTGTGTGTGTGTGTGTGTGTGTGTGTGTGTGTGTGTGCACGCAAGCATGCACGCATGAACATGTGCACACATGCACACACAAGTATTAGGGCTTGAATGCAGGGCCTGGGTACTATCCCTGAGCTCTTTTTCACTCAAGGCTAGCATTCTACAACTTGAGCTGCATATCCACTTCTGTCCAGGCTGGCTTTGAACAAGGATCCTCAGACATCAGCTGCCTGAATAGCTAAAGATTACAGGCATGAGGCACTAGCACCTAGCCCCATGCCTTTTCTTCTTCTTTTAGGGAACTATTGCTTAGATCTATGCCTCAGGCTCTGCTTCTGGTGGAGGCCCTGCTGGTCTCTACCACAACCTGGCTCTAGTATGATCAGCTGGCCTCAGAGCCAGACCCTGGCTTAATACAGTAATAGCATCATGGCAAAACTTGAAACCTAAAAATACTTGTCTTGTAACTGCTCACAGGATAGCAGTACTAGAGCTAAATTCTTTTCCTTCTTTCTGTCACATCATGATTGTGGGGTGTGTGTGTGTGTGTGTGTGTGTGTGTGTGTGCTTGCACACTTGTGCATGCATGTATGTACTGGGGGCTTTTTTTTGTCTTTTCTTTTTTTGGTACTGGGGATTGAACCCAGGAAGTTGTACTTGCTAGGCAAGTGCTTTGCCACTGAGCTCCAGCCCAGTCCATGTGTACTGGGGTTTAAACTCAGGGCCTGGACTCTGTCTCTACCTCTTGATCCATGCCTCAACTTCTGGCTTTATGCTAGTTAACCAGAGATAAGAGTTTCACAAACTTTTCTGCCTAGGCTAGCTTTGAACCTCTATTCTCAGATCTCAGTCTCTTAAGCAGCTAGGAGTATAGGTACAAGCCACTGGTACCTGTCTCTAATTTTGGTTTATTTTATTTTATTGTCAGTCCTGGGGCTTGAACTCAGGGTCTGGGCACTATCCCTGAGCTCTTTTGCTCAAGGCTAGTGCTCTACCACTTTGAGCCACAGCTCCACTTCTGGTTTTCTGGTGGTTACTTGGAGATAAGAGTCTCATGGACCTTCCTGCCAGGCTGACTTCAAATCACAATCCTCAGCTCTCAGCTGCCTCAGGAGCAAGGATTACAGGTGTGAGTCACCAGCACCAGGCTCTAGTTGTGTTTTTAGATTCACAGTAAGCCTATTTTAGCCTCTGAGTCTGTGTTCAGATTTCACTCGAACTTATTTCCAATATTTCTGTTAACTGGTTCACTCACATGCACTCATAAATCTAAAAAAAACAAACTACATTTCCTCAAACACAAGAGCTAATCATCCAGATAACTGATTACATTTTCTAATCTCTTCCCTAAAGTTTTCTTTGGTTTGGTGCCAGTCGTGGGGCTGGCCCTGAGCTCCTGTGATCAAGGCTAGCACTTTACCACAGGAACCACAGCTCTGGCTTTTGGTGATTAATCAGATATAAGAGTCTCATGGACTTTCCAGCCCGAGCTGGCTTCAAACCACGATTCTCAGATCTCAGCCTCCTGAATAGCTAGGATTACAGGTGTGTGCTCCCCAGCCTTCCTGGCCCCTGGCCCCAAATCTGCCTTGATTTGGCCCACATTTCCCAGTTGTGCCTATAGGTCAGGGCCAATGCCCTACAAGGAAAGAGAAGTAGATGGGGGGGGGCATGCAAGGTAAGATGCTATCTCCACCTGGGCCACATGTTCTCTTAGTAGAACTAAGTGATACTTTGGCCTACCTGGGGTGATCTCAAAGAGGTGCTTTCCTGGGTCCTCTGGGTCAGGAAGAAACTCAGTCACCTGGGTCCCTTGTAGAGAAATAAATCCCTAAAATGGAGACAAATGCAAACAGGAGACATGAGATGGCTGGGTAGGGCTCTTGCTGTTAGTCCCTGGAGAGAGGAGGGCAAGGGACTATGAGGAAGGTGCCAGTTGCCCAGGCCCTGGCAGAGCTACTGGGTGATCCCCTCCACAGCAGGGGACCCGGCACGGAGCGTCTCCCCTCCCCCAGGGGTCTCAGGTGGGGTGGGGGGACACCACCATCAGCATGCAAGGGTTAGGGGCTCTGTCACAGGTTGGGCCAAGAAGACTCAGCATACAGCAAGGAAAGGCAAGTCTGGGGCAGAGAGGAAGGTTCTCAGCACCCTTACCTCCCATGCCAGGGTGCCTACGTGTGGTCTTATGGACCAGCTGTGTGGTGTCAGGCAGAGGAAGGCTGGCATCCTGGGTGAGGCTCCTGAGGTGACTTGGGGACAGCCCCACTGATGTGCAGGCCCCACTGCATGTCCTGACAGGAGAGGAGTCCCATCTTGGTTTTATTCATGTATGTATTAATAAGTATGTATGTATTAATGCTGGGGTGGAAGCCAGGATCTTAAGCCTGCCACCAAGCTACACCCCAACTACAGGATTCACTTCATCCTCCTTTTTCCTCCCCCCTCTTCTTCCTCTTCCCTCCCTCCCTCCTCCTCTTCTTTGTCTTGGTACTAGGTCTTGAACTTAGGGCTTGGTAGTCTCCTTTAGCTTTTTTATCTCAAGGCTGGTGCTCTACCACTTGAGCCACAGCTCTACTTCTGGCATTTTGGCCATTCATTAGAGATTAGAGTCCCCTGGGCTTTCCTGCCTGGGCTGGCTTTGAACTGTGGTGCTCAGATCTCAGCCTACTGAGTGGCTAGGATTGCAGGTGTGATCTGTAGTTGGTTGGGTGTGGATATAGGATCCTGAGTGGCTAGGATTGCAAGTATAATCTGCAGTTGGTTGGGTGTGGATATGGGATCTTGGAACACGAGTGTCATCTATGTGTGTACTACAGACTCGACACTCTGCCCTATAGGCTAATGATGAAACCTGATATCCAGATAGGAAGACATTGGGACAGGGAAGATGTGTAAGAATCACTGAAGAAAGAAGTAATATCCAGCATGTAGGAACAGCTCCAAAAATTAAATGTCATAAGAATAAAACACAGAATTTAAAAATTGTCAAATGAGCCAGGCATTGGTAGCTCACACCTGTAATCCTAGCTACTCAGGAGGCTGAGATCTGAGCATCAAGGTTCAAAGCCAGCCCTGGCTGGAAAGTCTGTGAGACTCTTACTCCATTCAACCACCAAAAGCCAGAAGTAGTGCTATGGCTCAACTGGTAGAGCACTTGACTTGAGCAGCAAAGCTCAGAAACAGCACCCAGGCCCTAAAGTGTTTCTTGTTTGTTTGTTTATTTTTGCTAATCCTGGGGCTTGAACTCAGAACCTGGGCACTCTCTGTGAACTTCTGCTCAAGGCTAGCACTCTGGATAGGAAGATGGCTCAGTGGTAGAGTGCTTGCCTTGTAGGCATGAGGCCCTGGGTTCAATTCCTCAACACCACATAAGCAGAAAAAGCTGGAAGTGGCCCTGTGGCTCAAGTGGTAGAATGCTCACCTTGAGTTGAAGAGCTGAGGGGCAGTGCCCAGGCCCAGAGATCAGGCCCAAGACCAGCCCCCGTCCCCCCCCCCAAAAAAAAGGCTAGCACTCTATCACTTGAGCCACAGCACCACTTCCAGCTTTTTCTGTTTATGTGGTACTGAGGAATCGAACCCAGGGCTTCATGTACGCTAGGCAAGCATTCTATCACTAAACCACATTCCTAGCCATAGGCCCTGAGTTTAAGCCCCAGGACAGGCACAAAAGAAAAAAGAGGTAAATGAATTGAGCAGACAGTTCTTCTCAAAAGGAAATGTACAAGTGGTCAATATATGCATTGAAATGTTCAGTATCCTTAGCCATAGAGTAAATGTATCACAATTATTAAGCCACTGGAGCTTGGCTATGGGACAGTAACACTGAGGTCCTGGGAGGGCCCACACACCATGTTCCTGCTGAGTACCCCACACCAAGGGACCAGTGTTCCCCACCCCCAGGCTTCCGTGACTCTGGTCTCTTCTGTGAACCTCCTTCAGCTTGTTTGGACTTAGTGTCATGCAACTCATGGAAACCCTTTTATAAAACTCCACCCTGTGCAGACAACAGTCTGGGTTCAAATTCTGTCTCAATGACAGATAAGTCTCACTCTCTCTTTTCTTTTTATGCTGGTCCTGGGACTTGAACTCAGGACCTTGATGCTGTCCCTGAGCTCTTAATGCTATACTACTTGCTCTTAATGCTATACTACTTTACTTCTGGCTTTTTGGGTGATTAATTGAAGATAAGAGTCTCATAGACTTTCCTGCCTGCACTGGCTTTGAACTGTAGTCCTTAGATCTCAGCCTCCTGAGTAGCTAGGTTTACAAGCATGAGACAACTGACACCCTGCTAGTGACAATTTGTGTGTGTGTGTGTGTGTGTGTGTGTGTGTGTGTGTGTGTGCTGTTCCTGCGTTTTGAACTCAGGGCCTGGGCATGGTCCCTGAGCTTTTTTGCTCTACCACTTAAGCCATAGCTCTACTACTCAAATAAACCTCTTAATCTGAGAATTTTGTGAGGCGTAGTGAGCATCAGATGAGTTCTAAGAGGGTAGCCTGGCATGTAATAGAAACTGTGTTAGTGTTTTCTACAAGATCTATCAGCGTTACCCAGGCTCCACATCAGGTAAAGGACCAGTAGCTAGCACCTGTCCTTGCCCAGATGGCATCGTGTTTTGTCAGATTGCCTCTGGCCCCATCCCCATGCCTGCTTGCAGTTCCTTGCTGGGCAAGTACTAGTTCATTTAATGCTCACAATGGACTATTAGTGTTCTTGTTGTATAGCTAAGGAATCGGAGGCACCCAAGACTATGCATTTACCTACAGCCAAGCCAAGCCTCTCTCAGACAAATCCTTGGAGGAAAGGGGGAGGGGAAGCCCCCCACAGGGCCGCTGACATCTTGGGTGGTGAGAACACGTGCAAATTTGCCCTTTTCTCATTTGAGCAACAACAGACAGGATGTCTCTTTCTCCGCAGATGCTTGCTCTTGAGAAATTACAGCAAGAAACCAGAGACGCAGCTGGTAATCCTTGTAACTGAATTAACAGTTACTGTCTTGTTGGGAACCTGGAGTTACTGGGTAATAAGTGAGGACGCAGCCAGGGAATAGGAAAGCTACTTATTAGCAGGCGTGGTGGGATGCCTTGCTGGGGAACGGGGTACATACAGCTCAGGCATTTGCTGCATCAGTGGGTCCATGTAAATCTGAGTACTTGGCTTATTTTCCCCCATTAATTTTTTTTATGCTTCTGTTTGTCATCCATTAAAATGGGAATAAGAATATTGGCATTGATCTTTCCTTTTCTCCCTTCCTCCCTCCCTCCCTTCTACTCTTTCCCTCTTTCCCTCCTTCTCTCTTTTTTAAAATCTTTTACAGATGCTTGCTCTTTCTCATCTTTCCTTCCTTTTCTTTCTCTCCCTCTCCTTCCACCCTCTCCTCCTCCCCCATCTATCATGGGGCTTGAACTTAGGCCTGATCTGTCCCTGAGATTTTATGATCTACCATTTTATTTTATTATTTTTTTTATTGCTCAACCATTTTAAGTCACAGTTCTTCTTCTGAACTGAAGTAAGAGTCTCATGAATTTTCCTGCCTAGACTGGCTTTGAACCACAATCCTCAGATCTCAGCCTCCTGAGTAGCTAGGATTATAGGTGTGAGCCACTGGTACCCAGCTCTTCCTTTCTTTTGTGGTGCTGTGGCTTAAACTCAGGGCTTCAAGTTCTGGGCATGTCCTGTACTGTAGAGCTCCACCCTAGCCCTCAGACCAAAACATTTTGATAAAACCTTACAAGCAGGCTGGGTGCTGATGGCTCACATCTGTAATCCTAGCTACTCAGGAGGCTGAGATCTGAGGATTGTGGTTCAAAGTCAGCCAGGGCAGAAAAGTCCGTGAGACTCTTATCACCAATAAGCTACTCAGAAAAAGCGAGAAGTGGTGCTATGGTTCAAGTGGTAGAGTGCTACCCTTGAGTACAAAAGAACTTAGGAGCAGTACCCAGGTCCTAAGTTCAAGCTCCAGGACCAGCAAAAAAAAAAAAGAAAGAAAGAAAGAAAGAAAGAAAGAAAGAAAGAAAGAAAGAAAGAAAGAAAGAAAGAAAGAAAGAAAAGAAAAGAAAAGAAAGAAAAAAGATAAAAGACAACCTATCTAATAGAAAGATAGATGATCATAAGAAATGAATAGCTCACCAGGCACCGGTGGCTCACCCCTATAGTCCTAGCTACTCAGGAGGCTGAGATATGAGGATTACGGTTTAAAGCCAGCCCAGGCAGAAAAGTCCGTGAGACTCTTATCTCCAATAAACCACTAGAAAACTGGAAGTGGTGCTGTGGCTCAAGTGGTAGAACGCTCACCTTGAGCGCAGGGATAGTATCCAAGCCCAGAGTTCAAGCCCCACAACCAACAAAAATAAAATAAAACAAACTAAATGAATAGCTCAATCCACATGTGCTGAAGTCTGAATGATCAATCCCCCAGAATTCTTTTGTTGGAACTTTAGTGCCCTATGTGGCAGTGGTAAAACATGAGAGCTTTGGGGAAGCGACTGAGCCCTGAGGAAGCCCTCCTGAAGAGGGTCAATGGCTTTATAAAGGGATGGGGAGTTCCTCTGTTATGTGGGGGCACAGCCCTAAAGGCCATCTAGAAAGCAGAAAGAAAAAGAAGGCTGGACACTGAATCTGTTGGCCATTCCAGCTTTAGTTTTACAGTCTCCAGCCATGAATAAGACAGTTATGTTGCTTATAAATTACCTAGTCTATGGTTGTTTTGGGTTGGCAGGTCAAAGTGAATTAGGATAAAGATTTTCAAATTGATGTCCCGCTGAGCACTGGTAGTTCACCCTTGTAATTCTAGCTATATAGGAGGCTGAGAGAGAACTAGGGATTGCCTTT